TTCAAAATCAGTTCTATAGGGTGAATGTACACAGAACGACATGGGGCCCAAAATTGGATGGGTAAACACACGGAAAAGAGGCATTTTGCAGGCCGGGCCTTGCTAGACCCATGTTGCCCCTGTAAACAGTGTTGCCGTATATTATACTATTTTTATGTTTTCGGATATTTCTGAGACTTAATTATATGTGCAAGACCAGATTTATAGCGGTGAATGTACACAGAACAACATGGGGCTCAAAATTGGATGGGTAAACAGACGGAAAAGAGGCATTTTGCAGGCCGGGCATTGTTAGGCCCATGTCGCCCCTGTAATCAGTATTGCCGTATATTATACTATTTTAATGTTCTCTTTTTATTTCTGAGGTTTAACCATATCTATGATGTGGTACCTAAGGGTAAACTGAGAAAAATACCGTAAACAAATTATCCGAGAAGTAATGATACACTTTTCCACAGTTCCCACGCCTACATTTATTGCTATGGAAGTTTCTAGAAAGATATCGAAGGCATAAAATATGACTCGCGACGTGGAATCCACGTCAATCAATCGGACAAGGGAGGTTTTTCATGGTATGGAGCGCTTTTGGAAACGGTTTCTGCATGTTGTAGGGGCTCATGCGAGGAACACAGAACCATGATCCATTTTTCCTGAACGCCTCCAGGAATGTCAAAACAGTGGTGAAGAAATGGTCCAGAGTTCGATCCCCGGTGATGACTAATTTTTGCAATATAGTTTGGCGCCAGATTGCCGCCAAATGGCGCCATCGTCGAGAATAGATGTCATTGTCGTGTTTTGCGGCAATTTGGAGGCGCCAACATAAATTGCAAAAATTTGTCATCACGGAGGATCGAACTTTGGACCATTTCTTCCCCTGTTTTGACATTCCGGGGCGTTCAGGAAAAATGGACCATGGTTCTGTGTTCCTCACATGAGCCTCTACAACATTCAGAAAACCATTTTGAAAAAACGCTTCATGGCCTGAAAGGCCTACTGGTGGAAAGCTCGTCAGCTCTTTGTTCGGTGATTTCGGTGGCAGAAAGGAAGGTTGGCAAAAGAAGGGAGAGGGTACGCTTTTTATTACGGTACACTGATGGTGCAGTCTATTCGGGGATATTATCTTCGTAGAAGATGGCACCGAACACCAGCTCTACGCTCTAGGAAGGATCATGGAGAAAGCAGTAGTCGTACAGCAGAGTGCAACCTACGCCACCGGATAATTTTGAGTTATGTTTTCGAGAAACATCCTCCTTGAAGACACAATCCAGAATTACGCCAGTGGATCGAAGCCTAGTGCTAGAAAGGTGAAGAGGTCAGCAAGCATAGGGGCCTCACTGAACTCGTGATACGAATTTGCAAAACAAAGGCGTCAAGGTGTTACGATGCAAATGGAGTTACACCTTCGACCTGAGGTCGCTCCCAAAAATTCAAGTCGTAAGCAAATTCGCTCTCAACCGTATCCATGCTCCCTCACCACCGGTTCTTTTCTCATCTCCGCGGAGCCAAATATGTCCTCTCTCGCTGTCTGTCCCTAGAGCTCTTCATACATAGACTAGAGATAAAGAGACCTCCACCATTAGGGTTTTCGATAGTTTCGTTTTCTTTTTTGTTCATTTTTCTCGGTATCATACCTTTACCTTCATTTTAGAGCAAAATAACCAAACTAACTTCAACCTGGGACGTGCCTTTGAATAGGAATAGTTTCAGAAAAGTGGTTTCTGAACTATATGTGTTCCGAGCCAATACTATCCCTACGACACGACATCCAATTGTTGGTCTTGCATTCCCATCATCTTAAAGGAATCTTGCGCGGAAAATTCTTGCACTCTTTCCTAACATGAATATGTCAGTTGTGATCACTGGAAATAGCACACAAAGTTTCACGCATGAAGATTCGGTTTCTGAAGAGAAACAAACGTACAAAAACTACACGTTATGGACCATCGAAGGACCAGGAGGCAGAGCCAGGCGAGGCATGGAAAGAAGACGGCGTTTGGCCGGCTACGTACCAGGCGACGCAATGAGAGAATCGGGTTAAAGCGCGCGATTTCGGAGAGTGGAGACAAATCGATCGAATAGGATGGAGTAGAAGTGTAAGATGTGAATGCAACGAAGCAGAAGGCCAGAAAGAGCTTCTAGTGAATGCACTCCAAGAACCAAGTTTGAGCATCCCCGTCGCCAGCATTCGTGAAAGACGTCCGTGGGCAATTCGAACGCGTAGCAGCCTTTTCGAGTTTTCGAATTTCTAATCAAAACGAAAGCAATACTTCAGTTCTTTTCACTATTATCGTGGATAATGAGTCTCAAGCCAGTGATTTATGGCTGAAATAGAATCATGATTTTTCCGCGCAAAGATTAACTATCTAGCCTAGCAACCGGTGTTGTGAGGTAGATACTGTTTGTTGATCACTCTCAGGCCAGAGCGATTACGGTAAGCCTCGTTGAGCTCGACGGTGGCGGCAGATGACGTCATATTCTGAAGACGGCGGGGGCAGTGAAGGAGGGCCTGCTTCTGTTTACGGGGGAACACCTAAGGAATATTCGCCGTAAAACTTTCATTAACATCGGCTCCCTGTGCGACGAAAAGTTCGATGATGTGCGCCATGGGCAAAGTGTCTCTTTTTTTTGGCCACCCCTGTATACAATGCAAACGACGATGCAATGAGGCTTCGAGAAAATCTATGAAACGGATACATGTTATAAGGCCACATACATGAAAAAATTTAAAAAAAAATTGTTTACAAAATAAAAATTATATATGCATGAAAAATGGAAGTGACTTTGGAAACTTGCCGCATAACTTTCAGGCACGATCGGATAGGGTCGTGATTGGCCTGATTAGCTCTCGTGAGCACGGTGGAGCAAGAAATTGTGGTTCGACATTTGCTTTTGCCAAAACTGTGTGAAAAGCTGCGGGGGCAAACTGGCAACAAATGACGCTGACTATCATTGGAACTGAATGCAATATTCGTGAGCTGTGAGAAATCCTAGTGACCAAACTTTCGGAGAAAATAAAGCTTTGCAAATAACTGCAAGACAATTGAGCAGTGAGCAGCCGTCCCCTCAGGTGCGCTGGCGAATCACTTGGAGACGAGCTCTTCGCCACGCTCCTCGAGTAACCCTTTCCAAAACAGGCGATGGTAGATGCTGAACCTCCTGGTGATGACGGAGAGGCACAGTGAACCGCTTGTTGAAAAGCTTTTCAACGAAGGGGGATGGAGGGCGGGTGCTGTTTATGACTGTTGTATGGGTGAGTCATATTTGAAGCTTGCAGAGGGAGGTCTTGGTGAATGGGAGGAGACATAGTGACTGTGTGTTTCAGAGAAGTCTGTACCCCTCCCCTCCCTCTTCCTCTCGCTTGAAGCCATTTTCGGGAGAATCCTGGGGGTGGACACTTAGAGCGTGTTAAGTGATGGCGGGTTTAACGACAGCATCGGCCGCTGGAGTTTGATGTTATGCAAGAAGCTCTTCCAGGCGGCTGTAGACATTTCAGAACCGGCAAGATGTGACCGTTGACCCTGTGGGGGCACATTCACTGGACAATCGCAGGTTTTCTCCTCCATCCAGTGATTGGGGTGGGAGTGAATCGTTTTTTGTTCTAGCGACCCACACCCGTAGTTGAGCACTCGTCCCTTCCAACTAGCTAGGCTTTTTGTCAACTGCTGGGCTTGATTTAATGAGTATGAGGTGAAGTCAAACGGATATACCGTAAAGGAACTTCAGCTGGTATACCTACATCTGTGGAAAAAAACCTTTTAAAAAATCAAAGCCTTCCATTGCAACGCTCGATGGGCTCTGATCACTAGACCTGTAGTTTCTAATCCGTTCTGAGCAATTTCTCTAGCGCGTTAAAAGAGTTGATCTCGATGAGGAAAACTTGAGGAAGTTGAAATTTACGTGCAGTTTTGCACTCTATAAAATACTGTTATACAACTCTCTGTATTGATGAGTTTCGGTAAAATGAGGACATTGATGGGAAGTAGAAGACTCCTGCTTCGGAAATAACGATGGATCTTAGAGCTAATTTCAGGAACAAAATGCAGTGCCAAAGCCTCCCTCCGGTTCCCTTTTGCTGAAGTACATACTTCCTCCCTATTGCATCGCTTTAATCAGGCAGACAACAAGCGCAGCTTCTTACAAGCCCTCTCCAATTTTCATTCCAGGTAGAGAACTGAAATACTGCAAATTCTGCACCCGTCAAAAAATCTCAACGTTAAGGCTGCTTCCATAGCCTGCGCTGTCCGCGGACGCCGTCCGCACGGTCCATGCGGACAGCACGAACAGTGCGAAGAGCGTCAACACGCGCTCTGACGCACAACGCGCAACGCATCGACTTTGCGCCAAGTACGGACGGCGTCCGCGGACAGCGCAGACTATCAAAGCGGCCTAAACGAGATTAGGTTGTCTGGTAGGTTGAAGATTGGTTGTATGATATTATAGAATTCACGGTTGAAGGTTTAGTTTTGAAAAAAATGGAAGTAAACAAAAGTTTTTCACGGTTTCTGGAAATTTTCGCCATTTCTAGTTCCCCCTATTTCGGAAAACGAGAAGAGCGTCGAGTGCAGACCACACACCACAAGTGACGACGGCCAAGAAAAAAGGGCTTTTTTCGGCCGTCGTCACTTGTGGTGTGTGGTCTGCACTCGACGCTCTTCTGTCTCCGAAATAAGGGATATGTAGCGCCTCTCCAGCCATCAATTTTTCTTTTGAAAAGGAGCTTTACCTGTCAGCAGCATCAGCACGTCAGTGTATCGTTTGCTCAGTGTGCAGCGTCGAGCAAATTGACGGTATGTTGCCAGCGCATGTCGAGAGAAATAACACTAATCGATGTTACGCGCATGACTTGGCAAATCTGCATAACTAATAAAACCGTGACATAGTGACACTTCTGCACGATTCACGTATTCTTTTCCTTCGCTGTAGCTCGGCCAACAAAACATTACAGGATTAGCTACGGAGATGAAATCTAGCCAATTTTTGAGTGCATGGAGGTCACAAACGTATCTTCTGAATGATTTATTGTAAACCGAGTATAATAGAATACAGTGTAAAGAAAAGAAAAGACTTCTACAGTTACCATGGGTTACAGGAACCATGCACATCAAAACTGCAAGCGTGAAGATGTAACAAGACGAAAAAGTATTCACAATAATCATACATCCAAGATTTTCTTGCGTTTGATCACACGGCCGAGTCTGGACACCGCGGGTTGTGCCGGAGGTGAAGTGGAGGGCGTGGGGGAGTGAGAAGGGTATTCTTCCTTTATTTGTTTTTCTACTCGGAGGTGCGCGTCGAGACCTGGCCCGCGATGACTAAAATGTTAAATGTAGGAAAATGACTGATTCATGAAAGAAATTAAAAAGATGACTTCAGTAGCTCACCCTCGTAGTTTTGGCACTCGATGGAGCAGCAGATGGAGTGGCTTCAGACGAAGCATCACCTTCGGCGATCTTCTGTGGTAGTTCCTGAATTCGATTACACATGCCTTTACAGCTTACGAAACTCACTGCTCATGAAGCGATCTAGGATCACTCCATACAAATTATTCTGACATAGAGTGTCCACAACCGCGTAAAAAGTAAATCTCGTACCTCTGATGTGTTGGCGGTTTCTACAGTGGCGGACTCAGATGAAGGAACAGCAGGAACTTCGGGTGAAACAGTCACCTCCGAAGTGGATTCACTTCGTTGCGAAGAAGTCATGTCTTCTTTGCTGTGATCGCGAAGAGTTGTTGCTTCACGTTTTTCAGAAATCAGTTCCCGCTTTGGCAGCTGGGGTAGCTGCTTGTTTTGATTTCCTTTACAGGCGGTTTCCATTCGTGCATTCCACAATTCTACTATGTTTTCCAACATTTGCTCTGATCGAATAAGAAGATCGCATTCGAAGTCAGAGAATTGAATATTCTGTAATAATGCTGTTTTAGGGCGATAGCAAAGTGCTTGAAAGCCATGGTTCAACTAATATAGCCAGTAAGGGTAATACAAAAATCTATCCAGAAATAAATTCAACTAAGTAACGAGAATACCCTCATTGCCCGTCCAAGCGTGTAAATCTTAGCTCGTACGCGTTCTCGGCATAACCTGAAAAAGGAAACTCTTTTACTCTTAGATACAAATTCCATTCAACATATACTAGTGCACTACTTCTCCTCATTTTTTTACCACGGTGCAGCTACTATACATGGCAAATGAGTTAGCGGAATATATCTTATGCTGCCGAGATACTCGGCGAATGGTGGTCGGACCACATCGATAATAGATAGCATCCACAAAGAGGAAAAGATAGACAAGGAATGACAGAAAAACATGAGCTTTGGAAATATCCGGTATGAGCTGCACGCCACGCCCACGCCGAGTTCTAATCGCAACAATCCGCCTAACTTGAGTAACTTCTGTGACAAAATACAAGAACAGAATATCCACACTTTTCCGCGGTCGAGCGTACCCTAATTGCACCACACTTGACATCAGATAGTCAAGAACATAGAGAAGCCGACGTGCCTTCCCTTTTCCGAGGTCTTTGTCACGTGTACTAATGATTCTGTGATTGCGACATGCCTGGTCGTGTGAAACAAATGTATCTTGGGTTGCAGGAACATTACATAACCCATTTGGATAAATAACATTTGACTTGAGCTAATGAAAAAAATGTTACCTTTTTCTATTTTCTTCCCTCTTCAGACTTTGGAAATCTGTCAAAATAACACCACGGTTTTGCTCGTACTCCTCTAACATAGCCAATTCCAACTCTGTTAACTCCCCTCCTGAAACTGAGCAATAAAAAGAGAGAAAGGTAATGGAATGAGCCGGTCACGAAAAAATGGTACCTTCTCCACGACCTTCTGTTGAAAAGTCAAGAGCAGTTTCTTGACTTCCACCACTGTCGTCTTCTTGTATTTCAATCAAATTCTCATGGCTGTCATCAGCGTCAGCAGGTTCAAGAATATTCTCGGCTGCTTCATGATCTTCTCGTTCTCGCTGGTGATCGTCTTCATTTCGTTCTCCACCATTTGCACTTTGTTCGGAATTCTCATTCAACCTCTCTGTGAATACAAGATATAGGAACTAACAAAAAAAATGAATTGCTCTATGGTAGAGACTGCCACCAAAATCTACGAAAGTCAAAATAGGTACAAACTTCGCCTCGAAGCAGAATCGAGTCGCCTTTGGACCGACTGAGCCACCAACTGCACTTCTCGTGGAGTTACAGCCATGATTCGTCGTTCAAGCGCTGTTCCAGGCATGCAAAACCGATGGCATTCTCCTGCAAATCGGGTACGCAGTTAAAGTCAGAAGTTTCAAGAATACAAACACAAACTTACTGTGGAGCACCATTACAATTACAGGTAACGGTAACTTCTTCTTGGTCATTTCGTAGATGCGATTACGGATTGCCGTAGGGAGACGTAACCTTTCATCCCCATGGAGGTGGTAATCACAATACCGCACTTCGATGGTTCTGAAATGATGTACAAGCTTATACGTATTTATTGTTTGTAATACCGAACAAAACTAGAATCAACTGATCACTAACCCATCATTCAGGTACGTCTTTCTGAAGAATGCTGTGCAAGCCTCCTCAGTGCGGAGATACGGCTTCGTACTCGTTTCTTTTCCGAAAGGATCCATCGGCTGTGTTATATCCTTTATAGCCTCGTATGTGCCAGCCTGTGAAATTCGATTCTTAGAAAACCGACCAATGATAGGAAATGCCGTAGAATTCAGAAAACTTACATTTATGTCATCAACTATCCGTAGAGCTTTATCCTTTGCTATGGAAAATATCCGATTGCAACGGAAATATTGTACAATGCCCTCCTTTATTGTCTTGTTGCCTCTTGACATTCGGAAATTACCACCACGGCTCTCCAATTCGCGCAAAAATTCCTGAAATTGATCAAGAATAGAACACTATTTAAGAGGTAGCGATTGAAGCAACCAATTGTATATACTCACCTCAAACTGGGTCTCATTTTCGAACACCTTCCGCTTGATGTCTGTTGGAGCTCTGTGAACTTGGTACATGTGCTCGCACAGTCTTTCAAGAGTTCCTAGCCTCTCGTGGCACTAAAATTCAGTAATAGTATAGGGGATACCAGCCACGATAAAATGAAAAGAAATTCATTTGTCGCAGTCCCATTGAAAATACTTCAATATTCTCAACACATACAACTTTACGGTGGTTTCACCGCAGATTTCGCCACAACGTTCCTCTAGAACTACACGCACCACAGGAGATCACAGGAAACAAAAACATTTAGAAAATAGTACGAAAACTTACTCCTGGAGATCCACATGGGAAGCGTTTCGGAGTGAATATATCACAGCGGCCATATTTTCGAATTAGACGTCCATGATGGTAGTAGATGGATCTCTTCATTGTCATTCTACATGACGGACAAAACCGTTCATCCTGACCCTGAAACCGAACGATTTTGTAGAGCTAGACCTTGACAACATCTTCAAAATCCACATTACGTCTTTATTATGGGGAAGAACACGTAATTCGGGGCATCCAAACGTTTCCTCTCGCATTTCGGGGTAAGCCGCACCTCGACCAGGAACGACCTTGAAATGTACACAGTCAAAGGGCATCTGTCAGAACAACGGTCACACATTTCAAAGGGAAAGGACGATCAAAGGGTTATTGCGGTAAGATAAGCTGAATATGGTCCATTGGATTTTTTGATCCATGAAGGGCATCACTCTCCGAGTAACACGTGCTGCATCAAATGCTGCTTCCTGAAGTTAGAGAACGAGCACCAAATCCTTACATCTACAACGCGACCTTTATTGTCAAGCCATAGGGTCGATTTACGTTGCTCACGTGAAGTATCTTCTTCATACGTTTCAATGTCCACGTCTCCACCCTGGAAAGAGGAAAATGGGAAAGTTCTAAAAGTTCTGAAATGAAACGACACACTATCAACCTCACCTCGTCAACTTCGTTATCCACAGACCGTTCACCTTCGTGAATATCGTTTTGTATCAGTTCCGGCATATCAGCAGTATCAACACGCTCCTGATTCTCTGGATTAACCTTTTCTTCAAAAGGAATCATGGCCAGTACCCGCGTAGAACGCGAGCTCGGGCTAGTGACAAGAAATCTCGGCGCCTCAGCAAAGCGTCCCTCTTAAAATAAGAGAGCCGATTCAAAATGCGGGCAGTGGAACGGAGAACTGCACGAAAGGACCAGATCCAACTCAACCTTCCTCCTCCATAAACACCTTTTTTGAACTTCAAATTAAACATATCATCAGTCGTTCGAACTCTTAGAAAGTAAAAAAGAAAATTGAGGAGGAGGTACGAAGGTTGATTTCATCCGTTCCTCTTTTTGTTCCTTCTGTAAAGTAACAATAACTAACCGGCATAGTTTGATGACCTCGAATTTTTCTGCGCATGACGAGCACTGATGGATTCTGTGTCTGTGTCAGGATAGTAGCCCTATGAAGGAAACGCATGATTTTAGGGAATTCTGAGAAAAAACGGTGAAATCACAAAACGGTGTGACAATGGGGAACATGACTAAAATACAGGCATAATAAAGTTCAGAGCGACTGCAAGCATTTCCTTACCGGAGAATTCTCGGGATACTTTCGTTTAGACGGAGAACGATATCCAGGAACGCTTGTTCCCATTATATCCATAAGCTTTTTGAATGCCTCTTGCTTGTGTTCCGGCAACGACTCGAACACATCGCAAACCAACAATTTCCTAAAGCAGCTCGATGCATACAATTGCGAAATGATCTTTTTGCAGTGCAACATTTACGACTTTTCAGAAGAATTCAAGCAAAGCGAAGCAATCAGACGTCCATCCGTCATAATGAGATTATAATCCTCGAAACTAACAAATGACATACTTGCACTGATCTTCTCTCCAATCAGGCTTGGGAAATGGGCTCCGACCAGTGTGAATCCCTCTCCTCGCAACAGCAACCGGATACTTAGGAGTAAATCTCGTGTCTCGTCCAGCAGATGCAACTGGTTCTGAAAATTTGCACATCTTAAAAAAGCAGTATAGGAGAGGGCAAAAAACGGGCTCCACTTAGGTCAAATGGGCGCTTAAGATAAGACATTTTGGTGGCACTCAAAACCGCATAAAACATCTGGTTCTGTTAAAATCGGGATCAAGCCTTAGGCGAGGGAAGAAAGGCTAGTGTGCGCGAGCAATTCTTATTTTCCATGAGCTCCTGCCCACTCATGACTTAGTCTAGATGATCCTCTGCTTCGCTTCTCACGATAGCGCCATCAAAGGTTTGGAACACACAAACTATTGTTCTGGCCTTCAACATATTTCCGACCCGAAATGGAACGGTAAAAAGGCGCATGCCTGCAAAGACTGCAAAAAGATAGCAATATATTTTCCGGGAATCCCAGGCTCACTCACCATCAGAGGTGGACCTGGAAATCACGTAGCAAAAACATTCCGTGCTGCGAGAAGCAAAAAAATGCTTCGTGTCCTAGCGACACGAACACCCATATTACACTTTGATTATGTCTACAGCGGCATGAGCACTTGCAAACTTTCCATAGGTAACCCCTTTTGATGCGGTAGCCCAGTCAGAGAAGCACTATAATAGCTTGAGTACCACGCTCACTGTATTTAAAGCGCCATGTCCACCCGTATGTCCGTTTTTTTGTTTGTTTGCCTGTACGTTTACGTGTTTGTCACAAAACTCGGTATTACCTGAAGAATAACTTGGAAGGGCCGAGCCAAGTTCAAGAGGGGTAGGAAAGAAGACACACATCGGATGGAGTACGTGCGAGCTAAGCAGAATCGCGCCCACAACGGTCGAAATGGCGTTGTCGCCGAAATTTCGAACGCTCCTACGTTTACGTGTTTGTCACAAAACTCGGTATTACCTGAAGAATAATTTGGAAGGGCCGAGCCAAGTTCAAGAGGGGTAGGAAAGAAGACACACATCGGATGGAGTACGTGCGAGCTAAGCAGAATCGCGCCCACAACGGTCGAAATGGCGTTGTCGCCGAAAATTTCGAACGCTCCCTCTAAGGAGACTAGAGCACGAAAAAAAAACAGGTCAAATGTGATTACCCAAGTCCAATTAGAAACATCCACCTACGGCGGGCAAAGCGTTAGGCTATGCTTAATAAAAATGGATACGGCTCAACTATGAGGAAGTTTGCACAACAGAAAAAAATTGGCTTCAACAAAGTATGAGGTATTCCCGGCACAGTTAAAGTGAGAGGGGACCCACCCACAACGGGCAGTGGGTGTCCTCAAGTGGGCATTTTAAAAAGTCCTCACGTTTCGGTCACGGAAGGTCCTAGGAACCAGGAAGGAGTGGATGAAGCTGGGCAACGAAGAAGAGAAAAAATTGGTGGGCGGGAGAAGATCAAAATGGGCGCAATTTGCTATAGACTTTGAGTGGGTTCCTATACCGAATAAGAATTAAGATCAAGAAAAAAAAGATAGAAGTTGACCAGGGAAGGTTTGCCACTGAGGAAAGGGTTGCATCAAGGTGGGCGGGGCTAGAACCCAAAATTGGTTAAGTGGTTCAAAACCGCCCGTAACATGGTGGGCGTAGTACGCAACGAGGTAAATGGAGCCTGATCTAAGGTTTGAATTGCCCGGTTCAACATCACTAGATCCCTGCGAGCCGCCCGCTTTTTCCTGAGCCAAACTGGATGAGCAATAAACGGAAGCACTCACGATATTCATCGACCAAGATTTGCCGAGAGTCAACGTAGCTTTGATCGGCAAATTGTTGATGTTGAGGGGTGAACCGTCTGAGAATCCGTGGTTGTCTTCGTCTCTACAAAACCAAAATAATAACAAGAATGAACGGTAATTCATTGAGCATACAATAGACGATTTACCTCAAGGTTGTCCACTACGTATTCAGTGCCACCTTTATCACGATACTCACCACTTCGAGACAACGCTACTAGAGATTCCGCCATGTCATCTTCCTGCATCGGCTGAAGAATGGAGCCTATCAATTTATGTGTAATAAAATTTCGAGCTTCCTCGAGAGCAACTACAAAGCACCCAGAAGCAAATTGGATCACTCTTGTTACTAAATTAGTTAATGTCCTTAGGCTATAGGTAGTCTTACCTCTTCAATATACTCTTCCACATAATCTCCTTCCATGACAACCTCTTCAGCCATCTCAGGAACAGGAATACCATTATCATCGACATATTCGACCTCAACTTCTGAAACACTCAAACAGGTAAATTCCAAGCAATTTGAAAAACATTACAATT